CATTTTGTGCAGCTAAAACAGATTGTGTGCTTGTCTCCTAGTATCTGCACTGAAACCCTCTCGGCATTGCTGCCTGAAGGGGATCAGTCACACACTCAGAGCAGTCAGAATTCCTCAAAAGAGAGGCAAAAGAGTCATTTCTGCATAAGGTCATCCTGGGGTGTAGACCTGTTTTATTACTGTATGCCATGCTCCATTCCATACAGAAAGTATTTGCATGCTCCAGTGTTGATACTACTGGAAGAGACTTCCCAGCATAATAAGCTGCTTGATGCACCTAGCTCCTCTTCATATGTTTGGAAATCTGCCATTTAATTTGTAATTTTAGAGTGGCTTGTTTACTAAAAAATGCATATATATTTGCAACGTGTTTTTCTTTCAATAAGCTCTTTAAAATGCTGTGGTGTACAGCATATATAACTGCTATATAAAGCGAAACAAAGGTGTCTTTTCTTAATGTAGCCACATATTTGTTAATTTAGTTATAAAAAGTGATCTGAATGCTCTCATCCAGGATATTTCTGGCATGAACCTAAGGGAGAGTTGTGAAAATTTAATTGTACTGTGATAATTTAATCACCTGATATCTGATGTTCTCATCGTGTTTTCAATGCAGTGACATATAGCATCACATCTCATTCAATTTTAAGGCAGATGCACAGCACCAACTAATGTGTATTAGATTATGTTGTGTCATAACCCATATACTGGGCTAATGCTACAGCCTTTGCACCACGCTGCTCCGCTGCTGAGACTGTTATTCATAGACCCACAGACTAGATAGAAAACTAAAGATGAGTTGCCAACAGCAACTAAACTGGAGTGATCCAGCCAGGGATCACTCGAACTTGGGAAAATATCTTTGCCCCCTGCATACCTCATCAGATAGATTTTTGGGAAAGGTGTTGAAGTTCTTTTTTTTGTAATCAAAATCCATCATTACAGGAAAATCCCTCAATAATCAGAGCGAGTGTAGTCACTTTATAGTAATGTAACAAAAAAAAGTATAGTATAGTAAAGTAACAAAAAGTGATCAAAGAAGCATATCAGGTGTATCAGGAACCACTGGTTCCGCTATAATGCCCACATAAGGAAGACATCTCTGTGTATTCATGTTCAGCAAAGTTACCTTTCAATAGCATAACTGCTGCATCCTTCAAGTGGTCCCTAAGGAAAATTGCACTGTACGTCTCTGCAGAGCCATATTAGCTTTGTCATTCCTTGCTTCATCTTCTGCATTGGAAGAGGGCAATGCTTTTTGCTCAAAGGAAAATGTGTAGTACATCAGGACTACATCACGTAAGCTATAGAGAGGAGAACATGCGTATCAGCAGTCCATTTGAGTGAAGACTTCCTGAGTTCTGTGGAAATAGAAAAAAAAAAAAAAAGCTATCTATATGTGTGTGAATGTGTGTCTCCATTACCATAAAGAAAATATACATTACTGTATAAGCACAGTTTTATAATTGTATGGTGTCTGGGAAATGGATTGAACTGTAAGGATATTTTAAACAAATTTTAAATGTATGCAGCAGAGGGCACTAGTGTTATTGAATTGACCATAGAGTTGATATTTTGGTACTAGACAGATGAAAAAAAAAAATTGCTTAGAAGACAAAGAGTTGTCAAGATAGACTAAAGAAGCTGGTTGATGGTATGTGTTCCATGTGTGGATTTATAAAGCTAAACCTTCATGTGTCTCTAGCATAATAGACAGATATTGAATAGCAAATTACTCTGGTACAGAGTTCCAGATGGGTCTTTATGTAAAGCCCATTAAAATATTTCCATAATGTTCTTCAAGGCTTTAAATGAATTTTCTACTGTGTTTTTGCACTGGCTATTTTTTTTTTTCCAGGGTATTTCCAGACTATTTATATTTGAAATGACTCTGATGTGAAATGACTGCACAAAGACTTCCTGAATACTTAAGCTCTGAGCTGTGGAAAGCTACCAGTATAAAATAAAAGAACCTTTTTTAATACATTCCTACAGCACAAGAATTCTCACTGCAGTATATTAGCCTATTAGCCTCATGCAAAGCTTGCAGGTTGACAGTGAGGACTTGCAAGGAGCTGCCTGGCATAGCTTCTGCTGTCCATGACAGCTTTTCTTATCATCAGATTCCCCGTACTTCAGTACAGTATTCATGTAAAATTTTTTATCTTTTATTTATTTATTTTAATCTTGGAGCATATGTGCAGTGATGGAAAGGAAAGATTTTCTGGATAAAGGAGTGAATTAGGGAATGGTGGGAGATGGTGGGAGCTAGAAGTTGGAACAGGAAGGAAGTGCCTTGCAGTTCTTGAAAGCTGCGGTTGAAATGATTGGCTTTATGGAGACTGGCAAGGCAACTGAAGGGAGTTTATGCATATGCTGGCTGATGTTAAGGGTACTTGCTCTCCCATGACCTTTGTTATGTTTGCTACACTTTCTTGTTCCACCATCATTTTGTTCTACCATCATCTTGTTCTCCCATCATTTTTCAGCTCCTTCAGGTTATCCAGGTTACAGGAACGAGAATGGAAAGTAGCAAAATGAAAGTTAGAGAAACCATATGGTATGTTGCAAAGCTGGCCTGTAATGATGCATGGGTATGAGACTTATAGAACATAAAAGATTGCTCTAGCTTCCTGGGAGCCACGTGCTCCCTGTGCTCTCCATGCCCCACCAGCCATACAAGGATAACTGGCAGCTCTGAAGCTTGAGAGAGCAGAGTTCTCATCTCAGTTACAGTGAAGACAATAACATTACACTAGTGTGATGGTAGAATAATTAGTTTGGTGTGTTTCTGCATCTGTTTTATTACTTGATAATGCATTTATTCCGTCTAAGTCATTAAGGAATAAATTTTAAAAGACTTTTAAAAAATGAGGCAGGAAAAAAAGAGAGAAATCTACCTAGTAAAACAAAACTAGAAACAACAACAAAAAAATGCTAATAGAGTCACATTAACTATCATATAAGGTGGTTAATAACTATTCAACAGCAAAATTCATGGATCATAGTACTTAACTAAGTCTGAAATCAATATTGATCAATTCATGAATAATTTATCAATATAATAATAATAAACTGAATAATTCAGTTTAATTCAAATGGGAAACAGGACCTTTTTTTTTTTTTTTTTCAGTTGGTCATACTATAGTGGATTGTTTGTGTAAGAGAACTCGTCTTTTAGTGAGTTTTAGGAATTAGTTTCGGAGTGTTTCTATATATTGTGTTGAGCACCTCTGAAGAGATGCTTGTAAACCTGCAGTAAAAGGGAAGGTGTGTACAACAGCTACCCCTTATCAGTCTAGTACAGTATCCTAAACCAATGAAGTAGGAGTGTGGATATTCATGATTTCAGGAGTATATGGTTCAGGAGTATGGATATTGGCAGACTGAGAAGCAGGAGCATCTAATGCTACAGCTACGAGGTTATCCAGGATCATATGGCAAAAGTTAAGCCACAGGCAGAGAAGTTGAGTGACTTGCTCAAGGTTGCAAAACACATTAGTTTCATGAATCTTTCATACCAAGACTGATGTTTTATAAATAGCACTTAACAGAGCAGATCAAACAAACAGCCCAGATCTTCCAATTCCCATTCACTGGTATTTAAGCCATTATATTGTCTTTCTCTGCAGTGAATTATTAAAAGTGAGATGAGAACACTTGCTAGCTCTGAACCATTATAACAAGTTTTAAAAAAATGCAAAAGTGAATTCTCAAAAAAATACATTGTCTGAATATATAATTAGAAAAAGTCTTTCATTAAATGAATTGTTATGAAGATGAAAGTTATGGTTTTTTTTTTTTTTTTTTTTTAATAATTATTATATATATATTTAACAATAGCTTCTTCACACACAATGAAACAATTTAAAGCCTGGAGTAGAAAGTTTTTGCATTTTAGTATTTTGTTTGTTATACATTTGGGTGCTCTAGGTTATAAATATGCTCTACGCACGATGTAATTTATAAGACTTCACTTTTGGCTGATTTATAGGAAATTTCATTAATCTCTATGGCGGAGGGACCTTGTAGTGAGCAGAAGATTGAAAATGAACTGAGAGCTGAAGGCTTTAAGAATTACCCCAAACGAACCAGTACTGAAAGATTTAGAATGATAATTTGTAGAGTAAAGCCTTTTTCCCCCTTTTAGTAACATCTGTAAGATTTTTTTAGAGGTACTAATGAAATTGTCCACTCTGCAGCTACAGAGATATTTGTCAGCATTTAAATGGCTATTCTTATTTCTGTGTTGAGCACACATGTACTAATGCTTGCTTCTCTGCTGCTGCTGGTGCTAAGCAAAAGAATTGAGGAAATATGAAATGGGATGATACTGTTTAACAGTAGGGAAGAACTGATGCTCAACATGTTTCTTTTGTATTTTATTTTTAAAATCTGAAATAGGCAAGATCTTGCCCTAACATTTCCATGATCTACTACATTCAGTATCAAAGGCTTTACTTTTAGTCAGATTCTGATGCAGGAATCACATTTGTATAGATAAAGAGTTTCACCAATAATGAAAAATAAAAATAATAATAATAAAAAGTCATAAGTCTCCATTTAGTCTTCATATTATTTCTTGTCTTGATTTACTGTAATGTTAACAAAGTTCAATCCTTGAATATTGTGATGATTCTTATCTTACTCAATTTTGTTTTTTGAGGTTCTTGACACTTCTTTCAACTCTTCTCTTGAGTTAGAACATTTCTCTTATGTACCCAGTGTGGTTGAACTTGTTATCTGCCATCAAGCTACATGCATTATACTTTGGAATGAGCAGGAAAAGCTAGTGTCTGGATATTTCTTATCTTATTGCCAATTACACCTGGCATGGCTTTACAGGAAACAAAATATTAGAATTTGTATAGCTATTTATACTACAGTTTGATGAAATTGGTAGAGCTGACTGAAAGGACTTGAGAAGGCTCTCTGTTTAGAGAGCACATTTAAATATTTGAGATTAATTTAATAATCTCCTTTTCCCTTCTTTCTTTCAGACTATTCAAATTCCAGAAGGACCAACACCAAATAAATTATGAATGTTGAACAAGATGACCTTACATCCACAGCAGATAATGATAGGTCCTAGGTTTAACAGGGCCCTATTTGACCCCCTGCTTGTGGTGCTGTTGGCTCTTCAGCTTCTTGTGGTAGCTGGTCTAGTGAGGGCTCAAACTTGCCCTTCTGTCTGCTCCTGCAGCAACCAGTTCAGTAAAGTGATTTGTGTACGGAAAAATCTGAGAGACGTGCCAGACGGCATCTCCACCAACACCCGGTTACTCAACCTCCATGAAAATCAGATCCAAATCATTAAAGTGAATAGCTTCAAGCATCTGAGGCACCTAGAAATCCTGCAGCTCAGCAGGAATCACATCAGAACAATTGAAATAGGGGCCTTCAATGGTCTGGCCAATCTCAATACTTTGGAACTCTTTGACAATCGTCTGACCACTATCCCAAATGGGGCTTTTGTATACCTGTCAAAACTGAAGGAACTTTGGTTGAGAAACAACCCCATTGAGAGCATTCCTTCTTATGCTTTTAACAGAATTCCTTCTCTCCGGAGGTTGGATTTGGGAGAATTGAAAAGGCTTTCATATATCTCAGAAGGTGCCTTTGAAGGTCTGTCCAACTTGAGGTATTTGAACCTTGCCATGTGCAATCTTCGAGAGATTCCTAACCTCACCCCACTTGTAAAACTGGATGAGTTAGATCTTTCTGGGAATCACCTGACTGCCATCCGGCCAGGTTCCTTCCAAGGCTTAATGCATCTTCAGAAACTGTGGATGATACAGTCCCAGATTCAAGTGATAGAAAGGAATGCTTTCGATAACCTTCAATCACTTGTGGAGATCAATCTGGCACACAATAATTTAACACTACTGCCTCATGACCTGTTCACTCCGCTCCGTCTCGAAAGGATCCACCTGCATCACAATCCTTGGAACTGCAACTGTGATATCCTTTGGCTCAGCTGGTGGATTAAAGACAAAGCACCCTCCAATACTGCGTGCTGTGCCCGTTGCCACACACCTCCTAGTTTGAAAGGAAGGTACATTGGTGAGCTGGACCTGAACTACTTCACGTGTTACGCTCCAGTCATAGTGGAACCACCAGCAGACCTCAACGTCACTGAAGGCATGGCTGCAGAGATGAAATGCCGGGCATCAACCTCCCTGACCTCTGTATCTTGGATTACTCCAAATGGATCTGTTATGACACATGGGGCATACAGAGTTCGGATTGCTGTGCTCAGTGATGGCACGTTGAATTTTACAAAGGTAACTGTGCAAGACACGGGTTTGTATACATGCATGGTGAGTAACTCTGTTGGGAATACCACAGCTTCTGCCACACTGAATGTGACTGCCCTGGATAACCCTGGTTACACATACTTTTCAACTGTCACAGTAGAGACTGTGGAACCTTCTCAGGATGAGGCACAGACCACAGAGCAGGTTGGGCCCACACCAGTTACCAACTGGGAGACCACTAACATGACAACCTCACTCACTCCACAGAGCACAAGATCAACAGAAAAAACGTTCACCATTCCTGTGACGGACGCAAATAACGGGATCCCAGGAATAGATGAGGTTATGAAGACTACCAAAATCATAATTGGTTGTTTTGTGGCTATCACTCTCATGGCTGCTGTGATGCTGGTAATTTTCTACAAAATGAGGAAACAGCATCACCGGCAGAACCATCATGCTCCAACACGGACTGTAGAGATCATTAATGTGGATGATGAGCTTACAGGTGACACACCCATAGAGAGTCACTTGCCCATGCCAGCAATAGAGCATGAGCACCTAAATCACTATAACTCTTATAAGTCTCCTTTCAACCACACAACAACAGTTAACACAATAAATTCAATACACAGTTCAGTGCATGAACCGTTATTGATCCGAATGAACTCAAAAGACAATGTACAAGAGACTCAGATCTAAAACATTTAAGACATTATGGGGTGGGGGTGGGGACAAAAAAAAAAGACGGTTTATAAAGCAAATGACACAAATGACTGGGCTAAATCTACTGTTTCAAAAAAGTGTCTTTACAAAGAAAAAAGAAATTTATTTATTAAAAATTCTATTGTGATCTAAAGCAGACAAAATTATGTGTATTCCTCAGAACCTGTTTTTTGCTGCACTTATTTACCCTCCTCTTTCCCTTTTTCCTTCCCACCCAACCCTGATTCCCATTTGCCATATTTTTCATAGGAGATCTTGATTCCCTAAAAGAACTGGTCTAGGAAATTTTGTAAGAATTCTGTTACACTTTGGGAATTTTTATGGTGAATTCTAGTGGTGAGATTTGGTCTATTTTGTCACTTCTTTTTCTTTTCATTTTCTTTTGTTTTCTCATGCCCTTTTTGAAATTATTCAACAGGGAATGGAATATTAGCAGCAGCTTTACAAGTGAGCAAAACAAACAAGCAAACTTTTTTTTTTTTTCCTCCGTGTAATGATTTGATAATTTGCTCTGTATTTACCAAAAGGACCATTCTGTGAAAAAAAGGAAGAAAAAGTAAAAATAATAATAATAATAAAAAAAAATAATTTACTTGTGAAAACCTATAAAACCCATTATCTTTTAAGCAATTCTAGAACCAGAATTTGTAGTTCAAACACTAAACTAAGATTATAAATAAAAGATTGTTTTTTTTTCTGTACTTGGATATAGCTCATTTGTAGTGTGGCTTTAAACATCAAAAGCTTTTTAAATTTCTTACAATATTCTGCTGTGATGGTCCAAAACACAATCACTTTAAAGAGAATAATTAAAGCACTTTGGATCATTACTGAAGAATAGCACAATTTTCGTTTTAGTCTGTGTAAGCAGTCCACTAGCAAACAAGGTTGCCTGGCGTTTAATGCAAAATAATGCTGATATCTTCTAACAGTGTTAAGAGTTATCTCTTTTATATCACCAGATGTATCCTACAGTACCAGGGAAAGTTCCACAAAAAGTTTTGGGTATCACTGGATTTATTAGACAAAGATGAAAAGTATGTTCTGTTTTTTATTATCTATAGCTATCAATAAGAAAAATCATTTTTTTTTTTCCTATCAAAGCTAGAAGTTTCCAGTTCAGCTATTCTGGTATTCCTAGACAAATATGAAATATCTTTAGATATCTATAAGACCTGTGTTTAGATCTGTATCTCTGTGTGCAAAATTACATCAAAATGCTGTTGAAGGTGTAACTTGGAGGACATCCAAGGATTTTGATTTAAAAAAAAAAAATAGGGGGAGGAAAAAAGACAGGACAGGCTTAGCCAGATCAGTTTAGTGTGATTTGCATGACAATTAGACTGCCTATAAAGTAACCAGTTTAGTTTAAATAAAACTCAGACTCATTTACTGATAGGACCCGTACACCCATTTCTTTCATTTCTTTTCTATTTTCATATGTTCTGTGGATTTAGCTTATTGGTATAGGAATGGTGTATATCTTGTATGCTGAAAGGTAAAAGGAAGACTTTGCTTAAGAAAAAAACAGACTCAGGACACTGTATTCTTCCAAGTGTAGGATTAAACTATTGAATTAAACTACGCATTGGCAAATGAGTGGAAGCATTTTAAGACAATGTAGATTAGGAAAAGCAATCATACTGAATATTAGTTCTGAATGTCTTTTCACTGATTTCTTTCCTTAACTATACACACCGTGAGTTTCAGTTGACCTGTTCCAGGTAAATAATGCACTTAGTTCTTATCAAAATTTCTGTGGACCTTTCTGATATGAACAGCATGCAGGACAAAGATCCTCCTGAACAGTATACTTCTATTTTGTAAAACTAAGAAGGAATGTCTAGATAGGTTGATGGGGTAAACATCTTGTTGGATACACAGTTCTCAAGGTTGCAAATGAATGTAGCAGGAAGAAGGTCTGATTTAAAAAGGACAATGTTAAGATATGTGACAACGAATCACGCAGTGCAAGGAGTCTGATAAGTATAATGTCGAATGAACCCAAAAGTTCTATAATAATCTCAAAGAAACATTTGGCAAGACATTATGCTTTGATGTACTTCATGAGAAATAATATCTACTCTAAGGGAATTTTAATAGAGGACAAAGATGGACCTGAATGTAAAACACTGAAGTAGTGATTCCTTGCTTTGCCTATTTCTTCAAAGTGCATTACAGAATTTTGTTGGTGATTTCTTCTAAGTGTTGTGATGAAGTCTGTACAGAAATGCTGCAAGTACACGGGTATTTGTATTTTTGCCCATCTGGCTCGTAACATTATTAACATGGCCAATACTTATCTGACAATTGAAAAAGTTGCTTCTGGGAAACCTATATCTGGACCATCTGTAATCAACAGGTTTATTTTAAAAAGATGGCTACTCCCTAGCTGCTAGCTGCTAAAGCACTTTAGGTCGCCATGGTTTTATAAACATGCAGTTTTTACTAACTGCTAAAGGTTAAGTGTTGGAGGCCTTTAAGAAAATATAATAATAATAATAAAAGATATAGCTGTTGCAAAGCAGGACACAGTGTCAGTAACAATCTTTATTCCTCTTTGAAGTGATACAAAATAATATCAGTAACTATTTTTTAACAATATATTTTTTTTATTGAGTATTAATCAGGTTATATTGACTAATTGAATAATACTTAAAAAAAAAAAAACAAACAAAAAACACAGATATTCCTGATCATTCATAATAGGGATAAAGAAAAAGCATTTTAGTGTGTTTGGTTAGAAGATATATGTGCTAAGTGGAAACTGTACTAGTTGTGACATTCCCTGCATCTTCCCTATCCTTCTTGGAATTACAGAGATTATTTTTGCAGATTAATTTAATACCAGTTAGAGATTATCACAGCTTCTGAACTGAACTGAATTCTGAACTGAGCTCTGCAATAATGTGAGGGGAGTGCTGTGCACTTTCTTGTTTTGGTGTTTAGGTCACAAGCTAACACAGCCTGCAACTCCTGCAAAGACTACAGTGTTAAGAATGAAGCCTGAGTCTCCTATAGGGGAGAGCATAACTGATAGAAAGCTCTAATGAAATTTCTTTTACAGGTGTCGTGGTTGTGTATGATGTAAAAGAATTGTGGGGAAAAAAATGTGACCTTGATTATGAGCTATCACTTTCTAGTGGGCTCATGAGAAAGTATGAATTGTTCTTCAGATTATTTGATGGAGTTTGAAGATGGTTCCCTGTTGTCCTATATGAACACAAAGAACAGAGCATTTTCTTTCTGGAAGTGTCATCAAGTCTTATAAATTTTGCCATGTACAGAAATAACTTGTGAAAAGCAAAGCAAGTGAGTTCCATCCAATTCATTATACAAGACAGACGTTTTATTTTACTTTGAAAAGGGCTAAATACATGAAAAGTGTTACAGTAATTGTTTTTTTTGCTCATCTTAATGAATTAATTATATTTAGTGTTTTTGAGATTCCCCTTCCCCATATTATAGCTTAATCACAGCATTAGAGAAAAGATAACTAAATTGATATTGTATTTAGATGTACTAGCTTCATAGTCTTGTGAAAATATTTCATAACAGCTTTTATATGTTAGATATGACCATTCCTGTAGTCTTTTCAATGATGAGAATGGAAAATCTTTTCAACCCCTTCTCCCTATATTCCAATTTTTACATGAGCTAAGTACAGCATGTTTTGAACTTTTCTTTTTTCTTTTTTTTTTTTTTTTTTTTTTTTCCTAAGTCTTCGCGATGAAGGTCTAGGAAATGTTAGGAGCTACCTTTCAATTTCATACTAAAAGAGGTAAATGAATTAATATATCCTTATCTTCAAGTTATAATAAGAGGGGTTGAACTTCAGTATCTGGGTTTCTGTTTTTCTTACTAGAACTATTTAATGCATCTTTTTCTCATTTGTGCAGATGTTGCCATCTTCAGTCTTCAGTTCAAACGTATATCCGAAATTCAGTCTACAGTTAGTCTGAACATAATGGTGGATGCTTTAGTGTGGAGGTGGTATTATTAGTATTATATTAGTACCAGAGTAGAATGATATCTACAGCTATCGCTACTAAAATACAGCAGTGCTAGCAGAAGATGGGTTTGGGGAGATTCTGGGAAACCTGTCTGGTAAATCTGCAATGTTTGTTGGCCCTGCAGCCTCACTCTGTGGTGATGTCCCATGGAAATGCTGTGGTTTTTTACTTTGCAGCTGGAAGAATATGGCAGAGCTCTAAGTTAGGAGCAAGTTCATTGGCTGCTCCCCAGTTAAGAGCATAGATGCAAAACTAATCAGGGTATAATAACTCAGTTTCAGACATGCAGTGCATGACCAAAAATGAAGGAATTATTTGTCTTGTTTATTGGATTTAATCGCTGATAGGTTTTAAGGCTTAGTGTCCACTAAACTGAAACCTTGAAGAATAAAAAAAAAAATCACAGGTCTACAGTGTAAGTTTTACACAAAGGACAAAGTCATTATGCTTCAACAAAATGCTAACTCTGGTTTAAAGGAGTCTGGGAAAGTATTTGCACTATTAAGAACTCTTAAGAACAAATGAGATCTGTACTTAAGTAGTTACATGCCATTTACTTCCATAAGAATAATTTGAGATTTCCCTAGGTGAGATTTATTAAACAAAATACTGTTTTCAATTTGCCTTGTTTTAAGTCCTTTCACACATTTATAAACTTATACTCAGAGTGTAATTTGAGTAATCTCAAAAGGACTGAATCAGTGAAGCCTGGCTGACTTTTAAAAGTGAAAAACCTTTCCTATACTGTAATTCTAGTGAATTACTCAATTTTGAAATGACAAGGAGGTACTGAAATGATGACATCATCAGATGATTATTTTATGACTATCCTTTGTACAGTAAGTAAAAGGAAAATAAGGTCTGTCGTTTTGAGAACTTTGAAAATCCAATCTTATGCAAAAGTAGAAAACTAGTTTTTTAAAAAACAGAAGATATCAGAACACTTTTGTTTTGAACTTGAAAGTATCAATAAGATGGATTGATTACAGCAAGAAGTGTAAGTCAGACATCCTAGATAAACTTTACAGCTTTTTAATACTATATGCAAACTTAAAAATTTGAACAACTTTCTGTATCATTCATCTTGTTCAAGTATTCTGGCTGCCCTATCCACAGATTTCTGTTTTCATTTTAAATGTTGAAGTACATGAATTATGTAATCTGGGCTTTCAGCTCTGGAACAATTTCTCAGACAGGCCTTGCAAGGCAATTCTCTTTTAATATCTAAGCTCCATTCACTGCAAGTTCATGTTTAATATTCTCTGGGGCTTTCCTTAGTTTGGAAATGGCTTGTACAGTGAACGATTCCTCAATTTCTTTGATTCTGTTGTGCAATAGTAATATATGCTGCACATATGAGTTTTAAGAATATGGTTTTGTATGGGTTGTACTTTCATCATATTTAAAACATAAATTGCAGTTGTATTTTATTTTGGTAGGAAATTTTGAATTCTGTTAACTTGAAAAGTACTTCTGTGCCTTTCACAGTAACTCAGTTAAACTCATCTAAATTACCAAAAAAAAAAAAAAAAAAAAAGAAAAAGAAACCTGTGATGCTATACATGTACAGGTATGTATGTGTGTAGAATTAAAATGTGAGTTTGTGATTTTACAGGTGAGATAAATGGAGTAAAAGAACAAATGCACAAATAGGGAAAGACAGAATAAGTTTGCTGGGAGATGATCTA